GAAGACATTTACCTCACCTATCTATCTCCATATGGGCAACTTTTTTGATGGAGTACTTGTAGTACTTTGTACGGTGTTGTACTTGTGGAGCGCTCAGGAATTAGGCATTATGTAATGTAAGGAATTAATCAAGGTAACACTATGTAGTCGCATTATTTTTTTGTTTAGGTTTAGGTCAGTGGTTCTGATAAGCCCCGCCTTCTCAAGGAATGTATTCCCTTTCATACATCATTTTATAGACAGTGCTCTCTTGTGGATTTGTTATCTTAAACATGCAATGAAACATACTCAGGGCAATGTATTTTTGATGCAAAAATGCATGTCTGGGATACAAAAAATATAATAAAATCTTTAAAAATATAAAGTATTGATTACTATACAATGTAAATGAGCATGTTCTGAATGGAAGGAATCTTAGATAAACTGGTTGCTCTGTTTTTAAACTAGAGCACTACATTTTTATGACAGAAGGTCTTACAGTGCATCACTGATCCGGTCATTGAAATGACATGTGGAAACATAAAACATGTCCTAAAGACTCGGGTAAATCAGGCGCTTTACGTCCGGTAGTAAGTCACACACAACACAGCCTCTGATCAGAGATTTCATACCTCCCAGACACACAGACTAATTAATCTCACACCCCACTGATCAAATAAAAAAAATATCAGCCCAGAGCGCTCAATCTATGACGAACACAACAGATTATGACGACTCAGCCTTGCAGCTGGTCAGTTACATAAAAAAACAAAGCACAATATACTCAATTATAATCTACTCATCTAATATGGATATTTCAAAAATCCAGAAACAGCATTAACACTGTAATGCACGAGAAATAAGCTCAAGTAAGGTAAAGCAACGTTTTTGTTCTCCTCTGCAGCCTGAAATCTCCCTCCAGCTGTTTGAAAGTTCATGTCAGCTTCATTACTTCCATGCTTCATCTGCGCTGGTTTGGTTTGGAGCATGAAAAAGATCTTTTTTAAACAATAGTCTAAACAGAAAAATGCATTTCTAGATTCAATTACTGAATTTTTTTAGCATATGCAGTATAGCGATGCACAAATCCTGATACTTAGATCAGATATTGGTTTAATGTGCATTCTGTGTAATTTATAAGCCAACAAAAGCCACGAAGGTAGCCTATTATAAGGCACTAGAAAGTTGTCATGTAGGCTACTATATGCCAAAGTTCTGAAGCCATTCTATAGTTTAATGTAAAACACAGAATAATATTCACAGAGTAAAATTCGTGTTCAGTTCAGCGATTCCCTTCGCTGCGCCTGTCAATCATTCTCCATTCATTTACAGTTTAAACTGCATGTTGCGGTTAAGACAACACGAAAAACTTTCTTCGAGACTATTTGTTCTTGTTAGTTGAAGTTCTCAGTGGAGAAATGCATTTAGTTTTGAATTAAATGGGTTTATTTTGACCTGCAAAATAGAGTTGTTTCCTGTTTCTAAATCATGTTGCACTGTCCGTTAGACCAGCAGATCGCATTTGCAACACTGGAGGAGAGAGGGTTATTACCTGCTCTTCACACACAAAGTAGGCCTACCTGAAACTTTAAATTAGGAAACGCTTAATAATACATTGGACACATCATCAACGCAGTGATTTCTTCCCTTTGTGCTGCTGTTTCGGAAGTGTCCGCAGATACCAGTGTCTCAGTGATGCATCAAGCTCTTTATTCACGCACTGGCTGTGCAGACGCGATGTGCACCGCTATGTAAAATTACTCTCACAATAAGATTCGGTCCTCTCATCCTTCCGACTGAGTTTATTATTCTGAGGTGAATACTTTAAGTGCTGCGAATAGTTTGAAAAGCATGGCTAAGCATGGTCAAAGTAGTTGATTAAATTAATAAAAGTGAAACAGACGGACATATTATGGATTGTCATTAACAGAAATTATTTAGCCTAATAGGCTTACTCTGACACTGTGAATATTTCACTGTAATTTTATTTATATTAATATTTTATTTAACATACCAGTTTGTGCGCTGAAGCATGTGGACATTGTTTTGAGCTCCACCTCAAATATTCTTGTTTATTTTGCAGATAACTGACCAACAGAAATACATTAAAATAACCAACAAATAATACAACAAATAATAAAGTCTGTTATTTTTACAAAAGAAGATCTATTATCTGAGTTCATCACCAAAACTATAGTAACTGTGTTATGTTAGGAAAAAAAAAAAAAAAAAAAACAGTATCGGGATCAAATCTGTATTGATCGATACTCAGAATTTTGGTATCGGGATCGGACCCCAAAATAAAAATGGTATCGGTGCATCCCTTATTTACAGACCACTTAGAAGTATTCAAAGGCATAGTTCACTAAAAATTGGAAAATTCTGCCTTTATTCACTCATCCGCCACTTATTTCCAAACCTGCTTGATTTCTTTCCTCTGTTGAACACAAATAATGATATATTGAATAATGTTGGAAAAAACAGAGATTGTCTTACATTGTTTTTTTTTTTTGTTTGTTTTTCTTAGAATAGCTTATTTTGTGTTCAACAGAAGGAAGAAACACTTGAGTGTGACTAAAAGCTTAAAGAAATTTTATTTTTGGGTGAATATCCTTTAAAAAGAGACGACGCTGAAAAAGAGGAAAACTCTTAATTTGGTAAAATACTAAAAATATAAATAATTCAAATGTTCAAATGTGTAAATATGTAGATGGAGAGGACAATTCACTATAGCAACTGCATCATAGTGACTGAGAATGAACAGAATCACAAAACACACACTGTGCTGCCAATCTGCAGAGATGCAGTTCAGACAGTAGCGAGTTATTAAACCCCGCTACAAGTCAAGCTTTACTCAACCACTCTCAAATTAGTCACAGACAGATGGAAGACATTCAGACACTTGTAAAAGTGGAAGGGCCCACATGCGTTTAGCTGAGAACTCCATTCAAGCTCTTGAGAATTTTTAACACCAATATTACTTTCATGAGACACAAAGGGTCCAAATGCTTCTAAACAGACCACAGCTTTAGAGTCACAGAAGATGAAGGAGCTTCTTTAACATGAGAACCAAAACATCACCAACGCATATTTGCTGTCTAAATACTAATCCTGTAACTGGAACAAAGACTTCTATTACATAATTATGGAACAATACATGTACAGTATATCAGCAGTTGCAGAAAATGACGGTTCAAATGCCAAAGATTGTGTATTTGCCCCTTGGAAAAGTTTGCTTATACAGTACAAGCAAATGTGAAGTCAGCCCATCTCCAAGCTCATACATGCTGACAGATGGTGAAAATGCTTATAATTAACCCAAACGGTTTTATATTTTAAATATATATGCTAGCTCTAAATTGGAAGCCAGGTGTGGAACAGTTTACATAATCAAAACCTTGACTGTTTAAATAACTGAAAAGCTATTTAGTTGATACATTTCAGGTTGGTGGAGCTTACAACATAACAATCTTATGATATCAAATGTTGAGATATTCGTGGGGTTTATAAATTCTATGTAGACTTTTTAAAATCAAGTAAACTTCAAACATAATTGAAGGAAACATAAAACACCAATATATTCTCAAAATGACAAGCACTCAATGACTTGTATTAATAAAGTTACATAAATAGAAAGTTTGAAAATACTATTTAACTTTGTACTGTGTCTTCGAATTACATTACTTTAGAATTTATTTTCAAATTGTTCCAAATGTTTGCTGGTTTTCCGGTTGAAACATTTAAAGATTCTTTGGTCTAAAATCTAAATCTCTATTATCTGAACATTGTAACTCGATTATGATTGTTGAAACATTTTATTTATTTAATTTTATTGCCCTCGTTGTTCACTGACAGGTTTTGTACAGTAAATATGCTCACATATTACAAGTGAGAATTTTTAAAATGAATGGTGCATTATTTAATTTTAAAATAACTGAAGTAAACACACACTATCATCTATGAATATTTATTGAATATCAACATTGAACAACTAAAATTAAGACACACCTTGTCTAAAAAGAACAGGTAAAAAAAACAACTAGAAAGAGTGAATGAAAAGTTTGAAAAATTAGACTGGAAAAAATAGATTGAATGACAATCATGATACATCTACTTAGGAAGCAAAATTACAGTAAATGAGGTGAAATTGAAGAACACCAATTGGCTCAAAAAAAAAATATATATATATATATATATATATATATATATATATATATATATACAGAAAAGTAATTTCCATTAGAAATAAAGAGATGTTTGATCATGTTAAGGATAAAAGTTTATAGTTGAATTTATCAAAAAAATTTACTTGTTTTGGAAAACAAAAATACTACGGCAAACATGAAATAGTAATATTTTGTTTGATTTTATGAATTCAAGACTTTCTACTCTGACTAAAGAGCTTTTGATAGTCTTATTTCCTTCTTATTGCAAAACTACAAAAGGTTTATCCAATATTGGGGCAGTTAGTGATTACAATCAAATAGATTAGCAATTACATATTCTGGTTCATGACAACTAGTTTAAAAAACTAAAACAAACATTAATTTACAATGCATTTTAAATAGGTTGCTATTCGATTTTTTTTTTTCTATGCACTTCCTTTGTTTAAAAAGTTCTATTCCTTGACAAATGTAATGCATTTTGCTTTATAAAAACCTCAAAAGCAAAACAAATCTAGCATTCAAGCTGAATAAAGCACACATCTGTGAGGTTGACAGGACGGTCAGTTACAGCAGCCTCGTGACTTGCTACACCTTCTCTAAAACTACTATAATTACTATGCACACCGCTTTAGTTACAACAAATAGTGGTTAAATTATAGCACTCAGTTACAGCATTTAAAACAAGCGGATGTTCTTGGTTTGTTAAACAGCGATTTAACAACAGGTACCAAGTTAACGGTGCGCAATACATCTGACACATGAACTCTGGATAGGCTGACTTCAATTCTACGTTCTACTCATAAGTAGGCTACTTGTCATCTGTAGGCATGATAAACTTGTACATTGTCAGCTTACCTTGACTATGAGGTCTCTTCAGCAGCTTGGAAACGAGCTGAGCAGAAACTAGGGATTCACTCTCTCACGCCGAGCCCCTTGAGTGCGAATTCGCATTCAGATGCTCAGTGTGTCTCTTCCACTGTGGTGATCGATCGAAGAACGGGGAGCCTGGAGGCGCGCGCACTGAATGGTAGATCTGCGAATGACTGTCTAGTTGATTATTTGCTTAGAGATCAGTGCGGTTTTGCATGCCTCGCTGAGTTTTCCAATCCCAGTTATTCCCGATCGCAGCTGCCGCAGAATCCGCACACGCGCTGCCTTTTACACCGTCGCGCGCTCAGAGCAGCACGCGCGCGCCAACACCGCGGCCACATACTGTAGTACCTGCTCCCCGCTCCTCTTCCTCACGGGCAGCGAATCGGGTCAGAATGGAGGTGTCCTGTTTATTTTAACGCTGTCAGGAGAGCTGTCTGTCTCTTCTCGAGTACGCGGCGCGTGCCTCACATCCCTGCGGTTCACGGCAACAGCAGCAGCAGCCCGACAGCACTGCCTACAGTCCTCACACAGACACAGCACGACGCGCATTATTAAATAAATAAAAGCGACATGAGACGAATAAACCCACTGCTCGAGCACCGCATTCCGTAAAACACCGTGACAGGAAATAACAAATAGGCTACTTTTCATTGATTAAATGCGCATAGCGTTAGGTGTGGGATATGATTATTTAGATATAAAATGGGCTACATTTCATTTACTAATTGAATTAACTTTATGGATAGGGTTATGAAATAGGCCTTGTGCTGTTCTATAACCTGTTTAATCACTATCAATATAGCTAGATTGTTGTTGAAACCCGTGAATCATGAATTTAATCGCTCAGTGATAGTTCACACAAGTATTATTCATTTACACGCTGTTTTATATTTCCTTCTGTAAAACGACAAAATATTTTAAAGCTACTATGGAAGTCAATGGTTACAGGTTTTAACTTTCTTAAAAATATCTGGTTTTATGTTCGACAGAATACTTGGTTTGGAACAACCTGAGGGTGAGTAAATTGTGAGTAAATTCTCATATTTGGGTGAATTATCTTTAATTGGTGCCAAAATATATGATGATCAATTGTGCATTTTGCCAATTGATTCAAGACCAAGAGTAAACAGTGTTCTTATATCAATAGACACGCATACCGATATAAATCATTTTAAACTAAGAACTTGACCATGCATGATTACTGCAGCTGGTCAGGAGCAGGCCTCGTGCACGCCACTTTCATCCCTTAATTGACATTTGCATCAAATTGATACGTTTTTGCATAAAATTTACATACATCTTTTACCAGCTTAGTTTCTGCAACTCTTTCGCTGATGTTTATTGCAGATAAATGAATTTAATGTACGTCGTTTTGCACTGCTGGTGAACATGGCTCCACTTGGTTGAACCGTTTTAGAGAATGAATCACTTGAACCAGCTCGGTTCCGGTGATTCTTCGGTCACTGACAGACCGCAGCTTATTTTCATGTGTTTATTTGACAGATGTGTCTATCAGAAGCGACTAACAAACGAGGCACATCCAATCGCAGAGATTAGGGTTATCAATCTACCGAATCACAAAACTAAACTGAATTAATTAGCATGCTCAGTGACCGAGTAAAAGAACATTCTGTGCCGTAACTTTTTCCTTGTTTTCACAAACTTGTTTATGTTCATTATTTTTAAAGCATTTTGTAAACTTAATATATTTGTTTGGTTGTTGTTTGGTTTAAATAAGTATTTTTTTTTTAATTTATGACAAACATAAGGTCTATTTAATTATGGGTGATTATGTGGAATTATTATTTGATTTATTATTTTCACAGTTGGCGATGCGGTGGCGCAGTAGGTAGTGCTGTCGCCTCACAGCAAGAAGGACACTGGTTCGAGCCTCGGCTGGGTCAGTTGGTTTTTCTGTGTGGAGTTTGCATGTTCTCCCTGCGCTTGCATGGGTTTCCGCCTCAGTCCAAAGACAAGCAGTACAGGTGAATTGGGTAGGCTAAACTGTCCGTAGTGTATGGATGTTTCCCAGAGATGGGTTGCGACTGGAAGGGCATCCGCTGCATAAGACATATGCTGGATAAGTTGAGGTTCATTCCGCTGTGGTGACCCTAGATTAATAAAGGGACTAAGCCGGCGGTGGGCAAACTCGGTCCTGGAGGGCCAGTGTCCTGCACAGTTGAGCTCCAACCCTAATCAAACACACCTGCTTATAAATTTCTTGTGATCTTAAAGACACTGATTAGCATGTTCAGGTGTGTTTGACTAGTGTTGGAACAACACTCTGCAGGGACACCGGCCCTCGAGGATCAAGTTTGCCCATCCCTGGACTAAGCTCAAAAGAAAATGAATGAATGAATGAATTTTTACAGTTTATTAATTCATTCATTTTTCCTTCGGCTTAGTCACTTTATTAATTAGGGGCCACCACAGTGGAATGAACTGCCAACTTATCCACCATATGTTTTACAAAGCAGAGGCCCTTCCAGCTGCAACCCAGTACTGTGAAACACTCAAACACACTCACATTCACATACACTGCGGCCAATTTAGCTTATTCAATTCACCTGTATCACATGTCTTTGAGCTGTGGGGAAAACCGGAGCACCTGGAGAAAACCCACACGAACACAGAAAGAAAGTTTATTTAAATACTTATTTATTTACCTACATTAGGTTACTACATTTGCACTATTTTTGATGTATTTAATAATACACAATGCACTGTGTACTGAAGCCAGATCTGGAGCTTATCTAACAAAATAAACAAAAAAACTAGTACACCCAAATTTGTCATAGAAAAATACTAAAGACAATTAAAAAAAATAAAGAGGAAAAATCAAGAAAAGCAAAAATAATTGAAAGATTTAGTTGAAATTTTGTAGGTTGTAGTTTTTTTGTTTTTTTTTTGCAATATTTTGCTTAAATCTAATTATATTATCTTTCAATTTCTAAATATATTTATTAAAATAATATTTTAGTCACTAAACATATCTTTTTAATAAATCTGTTTTGTTTAAATGCATAAAAACACATTGCCTATATTCACTGAGAAATGAATACAAGTATTCATTTTCAAAATGGGGTGTACTCAATTATGATGAGCACTGTATATGAATTAAACAATAAATCAAAAAGGCCACAGATAGTTTATTACATGCCTACTGTATGTTCATGATAAATACAAATAAAGGACAAAGCTCTCATTCAACTCAGTTGTTCTTATGTAAATAGATTACTGGTGGCACAATCTTGTTACACTCAAAAAAATTAGTTTGCTGTTTGTTCAAACTCCTTATTCAAAATGAGCTGAAACAACACAATTCTTAATTTTTAAATTTTTTTTGGGGGGGGGACTTATTTATGTTCAGTCTAGTTAAACTTGTAAAAACCAGTAAGTCAACCTAATTCCTTCATGTTGCCCCAACGTAAATCAATATGCAACCCACAACCTGAAACAGAGTTGTAAAGTACACAAAAAGGTGGCCAGAATCACAATTATGAGCCTCAGACTAAGAATTTGTCAGCTCGGATGATTATTATGATGGTGAAAACTCACTGCCAGCTCACTGGAATGAATGAATGTTCATCCGCTGTGATCCGAGGCTGATCTCCTGCTTCTGAAGACACGTCTCACCCACAGACCCAGAGTTCCTGCAATACTTCAGCTAAGCTCTATTCATGCCTCGCTCTGAATAAAGCTTCTGTCTGCTTCATCCATGTGTGCGTGCATGTGTGCTGGATGTCCAATCTGGTCACTGTGCACTGACAATGATCAGATGGCGATGGGTTTAAAAAAAAAAAGCACACACTGGCATTTTTGACATGGAAATTAGACCTAATATCTTTTTGACATACATCTTTTTGATACACTTTATTAGGTACACTTGTCTAACTGCTCATTAACGCAAATTTCTATTCACTCAATCACATGGCCGCAACGCATAGCATTTAGGCATGTAGACATGGTCAAGACGATCTGCTGCAGTTCAAACTGAGCATCACAATGGGGATTAAAGTGAATTTGAACTTTGTTGTTGTGATATTATCTATTTTAGCTTAGGTTAAAACATAAATACAGTTTCATAAGCTGTAGAAAATATTAATGTCCAATACATTTTCTCTGGCCCTGGTTCAAGAAAAATGATAAAAGCATGCTGAACAGCTATTTCTTGTTGTAATCTGATGATTCATGCTGATCAGACATTACTGCTAAAAGCATCTCGGTGTCAGCTGACCCTCTGCTTTAAGGTGAAATGCAGTGCGGGACATAGGGCTGTTTAAAAGGCTGAATAACTCCACCGCTGAATAAATGCAGAAGCAGAGCACATTTTGCATGACACCACAGTTTGGGGTGAGCCAGAAGAATTGAGGTTTATTTCTTCTGGCTTTTGGGCCTTGAATGACTGTCACATTCGATCAGTGTCCTGCACGTCTGCCGGAAAGAGAAAAAGAAAGTGAAAGCCAACCTGCAGGGCAGAGATGATGAGCCTCTCTACTCTCTTGCAGTTAAAAGCTTTATATTAACTTTCTTTCTTCCTGTCAACTCTCCATTATTTTAGAAGTTTCCATTTAAAATTTGACATGTATTTATTTAGCAGACACTTTTTTTACAAAGTGATTTAAAAAGGAGGATAAAATCAGCATCCGTGACACATTCAATAACCCACATTCTCATATGATCCTCCAACGCAAACGTAAACAATCTACCTATCTACAAAATCTACCTATCTACATATTTCCCCATTTCCACAGACTTATTTAAACAAACCATTGTCATATTGATGATCTGGTGCAGGCCTTCTATGATGATTTGTATTACTATTGTCTCCTAATGTTTTATCCAGAATAGTCTGTTCCTGATTAAAACAACCTGTGCCCACCCCTCTCCTTTTTCACTTCTTTTTTCTCCTCTTTTTTTGATTTGTTAATGTTGATTTTTAATGTGATTGAGACATATTATATTGTCACATTTTTTTTACATCTCAATAAAAACATTGTTTAAGAAAAAAAAAAAACATACCGTAAAAATAAAACCATCAAGAAGCTGTTTTGACTAGCTCAAGGCAATCGATTTTTGATTTAGTGTTTAATTCGTATGAATTCGAACAATCTCATTCATATAATTTAGTATGATTTGCTTTTTCTCCAATGAAGGTTGGGTTTAGGGGTGGGGTTTGGTGCCACAACTCCTTTTTAAAATTGTACATTTTCACTTGACTGAACATGTACGAATTCCTACGAATTTGCAACTAAACTGGCAAAACTTAAAATACTTACATTTTCTCATGAGATCAGGCTGGTTTTGACATTTCCCCATGGTGGCTTGAAGTTGTCATGCTGATTTTGTCAACAGGTTAAGTGTTCCTATAGGTTCTTGGTTTGACGTACATCGTAGTTGAAGTCACGCTACAGGAAAGTGTCACTAAACAAGTCAAATCAATGATCACAGGCCAAAGATTTTAGACTAGGATTAAACTATGGGAAGTTTATTTATAAAGTAATATCGAGAGGATCACGT